ATATTTTAAGTATAAAATAAGAAAATTAAGTATATTTTAAAGAAAATTAAATATATTTTAAATATATTTTAAGTATATTATTATATACTTAAATTATACTTAAATGATATTTAATTTTTACCTATTTCAGTATATTTTAAAGTATAAAATAAAATTTTAAGTTTATTTTATGTATATTTTAGCAAAAATATTTTTTATAGGGTAAGTCTAAGCATATAAGTACATTTTAAGTATATTTATTATTTCAATAAACTATCCTAATAAAGTTATTGATTTGCGTAGTTGGCCCCACCTATTTTATCAAATCGATCAACCAGAAATTTTGTTACTCCTGAGAAACAGAAAAAAGTTTAACTGACGTCATGTTTTCTATGAAATTAAAAATGAGTGGAAGTATTTGACTAATTTGGTAAAGTCCTGTGTAAAAGTGGAGATTTATTTAGTCGATTTGCTCATGATAATCTAATCATATCGTAAATGTAAAAAAAGACAAATCCTTTTTTTTTTAATGTTATACTTTTATAGAACCTTTTTCCGTATAAAAAAATATATCGAGGAAATTAACCTGAATTCATTTCGAATGGGATTAAATGAGTCATTTATTTCAAGGGAACTGCCCGATGTAGTTAAATCAAGATGGATCTCTTTTTTTCTGATTATCGAGATTTTTTTTTTTTTTTTATTTAAAGACGTTTTTTTTACCGAATCTCTTCTTTGAATCTCTTCTTTGAATAATCATAATGACCTACAGCATTGTTGATATTCGTAGAACCGAAATATCCAAAATCTGGCTTAAAAATTCAATTATTAATGGACTTAATCAATCAACGAAATCCATTCCAACTATCGTACTTTATGATGAGCTCGGTTTGCAATATTTTGAGAAAATTACTTATCTTAAAGAATATTACCTAACGGATGCTGAAATTGATATTTTGAAGAATAAAGCTGACCGAATTAGTGATTATATACCTGAGGGTAGTTTTGTTATTGAATTGGGTTCAGGGTATGTTTTCAAATATTTTAGTTATACGCTAGTTTAACTTTTTGAACAAAAAAATAATATACAATGTTAAAGCATAATACATCGATAAACGATCAGCTGTAATATGATCACCGATTAACAACTAATAAAAGTGATACATATTATTTTACCAAAATCTTTTTTAGGGTTCATAACGTGAAAATTTTCTCTGTTTTAAGTAAATTATATATAGGCGTTTGTTACACAATCCAAAAACGGCGAACCCCAATAAAAAGAGTTATTTGATAATCTTACCTATTACCTTTTTTTTTGGATTGATTTTTTTTTTTTAGTGCGTTACGGAAGACAAAACTTATTCTCGATGCTATTGAAAAACAGAAGAAAAATGTCACTTATTATGCGCTCGATCTTATGGAAGACGAACTCAAAAGGTCGCTGTCGGCGTTGGGAGAATATCAATATATTAAGCTTGTGGGACTTTGGGGGACATATGATGATGGAATAGTCTATACTGCAAATTTCCCTGAGGACTCACACAAAACTATATTGTGGATGGGCTCTTCAATTGGAAATTATAATAGGGATGAAGCTGCAAATTTTGTTAAAACTATTCAAGATAAAGCTATGAATCCAGGGGATTTACTTCTAGTTGGAGTTGACAGACGAAATAATCCTGATAAAATTACTATCGCATATAATGATCCAAGTAGAACTACTGAAGGATTCATAATGAATGGATTGAATCACATTAATGCTATTTTTAATCAACCTATAATTGATCGTAATAATTTCGAATATTTTGCAAAATATAACGATAGTCTTGGTAGGCATGAGGCTTATTATAAGATTAAGAATGATACCGCGTTAGAATTCGAGGCATCCGATGATAACCCTAAGATAGAAATTAAATTAAAAAAAGACGAACTTATTAACATAGAATATTCATACAAGTACAGTAAAGCTGAAATTAGTGATATATTCGATTTTAGTTTTCTATCATATGTGGAAAGTTGGCCAGATTCCCAATCATGCTATGACATCCATTTAGTCTTTAAACCACCTTTTTACTTTAAAAAAAAATCTGATTCATATGAATCAGTACCTACGATTGAAGAATGGAAAGAACTTTGGAAATCTACGGACACATTGATGAATATGGCTGATTCAATTTACGATAAACCTATCGAATATAGACATCCATTTATTTTTTATATTGGGCATATTCCTGCATTTCTTGATATTCATCTTGCACGATATTTTAAACAAGATGTTACTGAACCTCATAATTTTGCTACGATTTTTGAGCGGGGTATTGATCCCGATATAGATGATCCTGATATAAATGATCCAAAAAAATGTAACCCACATTCAATTGTTCCAGATAATTGGCCGGACTTAAATTCCGTTTTATCTTTCCGTGATACAGTGCGTCAAAGACTTATGGCTGTTTATAATGATCAAAAAATCATACCAAGATCTCTAGGTCGTGTTTTATGGATGACATTTGAACACGAAGTTATGCACGTAGAAACATTTCTATATATGTTAATTCAATATAAAAATGTTAGACTGCCAAAAGGTGTCATTATACCTCGATGGAAACCATCGTATGATCAAGTACCAAAAGCCGATTTAATAACGATTCCAACACAAACCGTTACACTCGGACATGATGATGATGAATGTGCAGACGATACTGATCCATTAAGCCTCCCATTTGGATGGGACAATGAGCGACCTTCTAGAAAAGTTACAGTTCAATCCTTTAAGATTCAATCACGCCCTGTTACAAATGGTGAATATCTTTATTTTATGAAGACAACAATTAACAAGGGATATCCTTCTTCATGGATTCCTGTCGACCCTTCTTTGTTTCATTATAAAGTTCGCACTATTTTTGGACCTGTAGACATGAATGTTGCTGTGAATTGGCCTGTAATGTTGAGTCAAGAACAAGCATGCCGTTATGCTGAATGGACAAGGATGAGACTTCCTACTGAAGAAGAATTGAGATGTTTTTACGATTTACATAAACGCCCAGATTTTGAGTCGAACGTTGGATTTTCTTATTGGCATCCTACTGATGTTCCTCATGATAAAAATGTTCAAACTTTGGGATCTGGTTGGGAGTGGACTTCTACTGAATGGAATACATATCCTGGATTTGAAAAAAGCAAATTATATCCTGGGTACTCTTCGGATTTTTTTGATGGTAAACATGCAGTAATTTTGGGAGGATCATGGTAATTTTCATATTTATTACTTTTTGATTCAATATCAAATTTCGGATTTAATTTGATTTAATTTGTTTTATGGATTATTTATTTTCCAGGGCTACACATCCGAAAATTATTCGTCGATCTTTCAGAAATTGGTACCAACGAGGATATCCTTTTGTATTCTGTAGCGTCAGATTATGTCTATAAAATAAATTGGTTGTGAAACTTGTGAATACAAGAAGAAATTTTTATAAATAAAATATTTTTATTACAAACTAAAAAAAAATTTTAACGCTCACCCCAGGTGAAAATCACCTGGTCATATGATTTTTAAAATTTATACATATAAAGTAAAACTGATTTTTTAATAAATTATATTAACTAAATTTCTTTACTTTATTAAAGCATTATAAAATTTGATAGTTAAAATGTTGACCAAAATGGTGAAATTATATTCTTAGCAAGAAAAATTCGAAAATTAGTACCATTATGAAAAATACGGATATCTTTGCAAACATAATACCTACACTCATGAAAATTAAATTGTAAGTGTTTTCCACCTTGCTGAACAATTTTCACTTAATAAAGAAAGTCGATTTCATTTGAGCAAAGTAGTGGAATTACGCTCTGAATTTAATAAAAAAAAAATGAAAAATTCGAAAATTATTGCCATTACGTAAACGCGAATATCTCTACAAGTATTATACCTACACTCATGAAATTTAATATATAAGTAGTTTCGACATCGGAGAACAACTTTCACTTAATAAAGGAAGTCGAATTCATTTGACTAAAGTAGTGAAATTACGCTCTGAAGTTAACAAACGGAAAAACGAAAAATTCAAAAATTATTGTTATTATAAAAAACACGAATATTTCCACAAGTATTATACTTACGCTTATTATATTCAAGATATAAGTAGTTTTGACATCGCTGAACAACTTTCACTTAATAAAGAAAGTTGATTTCATTTGACTAAAGTGACGAAATTACGCTCTGAAGTTAGAAAATATAACACGAAAGAAATTTAGAAATAAATATACTATGAATTGTATAAAATACCTGTAGCTTCACAAGATATAAGTAACAAAACTGAGTCAAAGTGTTTAATATGTGTTAATAACAAAGCTTTTAAAATTTTTTTTAAAAAAGAAATTTTTTTTTTTATAATCATTACGTGATAAACAAATAAATAAAAAATTGTGAAATGTAACACAAATCAAGGGGTGAATTTCACCCAAGGTGATTAAAATTAAAAAATAACCTAGAGTGAATTTTAAATTAATTCAAAAAAAAAAATATTTTTGAACTTTATTTTATTTTCCCTTTGTCTGTAACGAGCTAATCGAATATATATTTAATATTTGAATTTGATGATCTATACAAACTATCATTGGAAAACTGTTCGGCAATATAGTTTGGTAAACAGAAATTTTCTAATTCTGCATTACTAAAATAAACTTTTTTGTTAATCTTCCATTTACATTTGATTCTAATTAGGTTCAATCCGGTTCTGGATTTAGACTCGAGTTTTCTTGTTTTCTTACTTTTTTGTAACAGATTAATCCAATTTATTAATTTGAGCCAGCTATGAATTTTGATTAGAACTAACAAATTTCTAAAAAAAAAGGATTGAACTCCATCCATTAATAGCTGTATGGAAGAATTATAAATACTGTAAATGGCATGCAAAAAGGCTTAATTAAATTTTAAAAACAGTAATATCTATTAGAGTCAATCTAATTGAATATATTATTAAATTTATCCTAATTTTATTGATGGCATTCTTAAAAAGCACTTTTATAAGTGACCAAAAAGATATTATTCAAATCCCTTTGTTTATTAAAGCAATAATCACTATATATACAGTCAACTCTCTCTATAATCACACCCCAATGGTGTGATTATAATAAGGTATGACTATTGGTAAGGGTATTAAACTAATATGTATATAACCATTCTATTAGTTATTCATCTGTATAATCTATATTCTTATCTATTACGTAATAAGTAGTTTTAATTTGAAAAAAACCTACATAATAGTCTATAATAGCAAATGCATCAATGAATTCATTCACTTCAAATTTTTGAAATGAGATAAGACTTGCACTATCTTTTCTAGCATCTGCAGTCCAATGAATATACACTAATATAGACCCTGGCGAAAAGAATGGCGGTCAGTTTTTTTGATATCACGAATGTAATCTATAGTAAAATGTGAAATATTTTTTTATTTTCTGAAAGAGGAACAGAAAATACATATATTTCATTATTTAAATAACATTTGATATGATCATCTTCTTGTGTCAATAAATGCTTTAATTTATTATTGCATACTATTCGCACTCTTAACCAGCGTTATTTTGTTATGATATTTTAATATTTTCTTAACTTTCTCACCATCCAGAGGTCAGATTGAGACAAATTTACCACTATTGGATTCCTCTTGACTATGTGGTTCGAATGGTGGTCTCAAAATTATTGTGTAACATCTGTGTAATGTGATAGTTCAAGTATAATAGTGAGTATTATGAATTTTTATGTTGTATAAAGATAATCATTTCTAAAAGCAATATAAAAGCTCAATAATATAATAAAAGACCATTATTTAAATCTCGTAATTGCAAGAAATCTAATAGTTGAAATTTTGTTTCAATACAAGTTTTGGTTGATGGTAAAATGAAGTTTAAACTTTTTATTTCAAACTTTCATACCAAATTCAAAAAATTATTAGTAGTATTTCTCTGTGATAATGTGATATAACTAAATGCAATTATAATATTTGGCAGTTAAAAGTAAGTGGTTTTTTTTAAAAAAATTGGAATTTATTATTATGTAGGATTTTGAGCATTTTAAAAAAATTCATAGCAAATTATTATGCTCTGATTTCTATTAAATTTATAACTTCTTGGTTTTTTAGAAGGTAAAATAGGTGTAAAAACAATAAGAAATTTTCATTTTTTTTTATTGCTTTTTAAAATAGTATTCTAAAAATCCATTGGGCATTTACAAGTTTTAATTTAAATAGGAAAATTCTGATGATCTCATATCCAAAATAACAAATGATACTCACACCGCCATTCTTTTCGCCGGGGACTGTATATAAGTTACTTTGTCAAATTCACAAGTAAGATAATATTCAACCTGTTCATAAAAAAATCAATAAATTAATTTTTTTTTAAAAAAAAATAAAGACTAATCTATCCAATATCTAAGAACTAGAGCTGAAACCTATAAAATAGAAAAAAAATTAATAAATTAAATTATTTTTTTAAAAAATAAGTTTTAAAGTGTTATTCAAAATGAAACTTATCATATGGGCTAATTTGTTTTTGTATTTAATTTAAGGTAAAGGTTCACATTTAAGAACCTATTTATAGCATGGTAGTCCATAGGTCAGGGACGATGATTTTCTGCTTTAAGCAGAAAACCGCAGAATTGTCCGAAATGATAGCTCAAAGCAGATACCATAAAAATAACCGCAGATTATAGCAGATTTTAGAAAATAGATTGTATTACATATATTGTCCAATCAAATCTGTTAATCAAATCTATTTTTAATCTTTTTTTTCGAAGTATTTTTTTAAAAAATTGTAACTACTAGTTAAAAATGGTTAAGCATGAAAAAAAAGTAACTGTATATACTCGCGCAGCTGAACATCCAGGTCATTTTAAAGTTGTTGATGACGGTATTTTGCTTTGTATATATTGCAATTATGCTATTAAATGTGAAAAAAAATCAACCGTTGATGACCATGTTCGTGGTCCTGTTCATTGTGCAAAAAATGCAGCATATGAAAAAAAACAGAGAAATGGTGAAATACGACAACAAAGGACAATTACTTCAACAATTTCTATTGCTGATAGTAAAAAAGAATTAATTGAAGATTTAATTCAAGCTCTTGCTACTGCTAATATACCTTTAGAAAAAGTGAATTCTCTTATTCCTTTTTTTCGAAAACATGTAAAACAAGGAGGTTTCATCCCCCAAGCACCTACATTATGTCAAATGTACTTACCTCAAATCTTTGAAAACCATCTTACACAACTTAAACTTATGTTTGAAAGTAAGCCAGTAGCAATCACCATGGATGAAACTACAGATGATTGTGCTCGTAGTGTGGTGAATACTCTTTTTCACTTTCGCACAAATACCAAATTAGTTTCTGTGGATTTTTTAATTCAAGTTAATAATTCAACAATAGGATCAACTCTTCTTACAATTCTGACAAAATACAATATTCCTTTTTCTCTTCCACATTTATTCATTTCAGATTCAGCCGCTTATATGAAGAAATGTTTTCGTGAAGTGTTAAAACCTGTTATGCCACAACTGATTTATGCTCCTTGCTGTGCACACATATTTAACTTAATTGGGTAAGTAAAGTATTTTTGTTATAAATTTAATTATCTCAAAATAATTTTGTATAATATTTTAAATTTGTAGTGAAACATGGCAAAAATTTAATCCATTTGCTATTTTAAAAGAATTCTTGGCTAAAGTAAAAGAATGCTTTGTTTGTAGTCCAGCAAGAAGAGGTAGATATTTAACACACTTACGCAATTATGGTATATCTTCTCCTTGTAAAATTCCTCTTCCTACTTCTACACGTTGGAATTCATGGTTTAAAATGGTTGAGTATACAAAAATACATATACTCTATTGGAATTCCTTTTTTCAGGATGAAGTAACCAATGATTCAACAAATGAAACACTTAAAAATATTTTAAAAACTCTTTCTGATCCTTTCAAATTTGGTACAATTTCAGTTTATATTCATTTTATTTCTATATATGCAAGACAATTCATACAAGATACTGATTTTTTTCAGAAACAAAACAAGCCTATATTTCCATTTGTAGAGGGACGCCTTAATCATTTTTCTGCATTTTTAGAAAGTAATTGCAATTTTCAAGATTTTGGTCCAGATCTTGATAATACTATTATTTCACATTATTTTAACCCACCTGATTTTTATCCTGTTTTTCGTTTAGCTTTTGAAGCTGCTTTTAACAAATTTAATGCTCATATTCCCTCACATCCTACACGTTCACTTTTTTTGGCTGCCCAAATTTTTGATCCTAAATATATTTTACTTGGTCCATTGGAAAGAAAAAATTTACGTCAATATAGTGCTATTAGAGAATTAGCTAACCCTTCAGATGAATTACTTTGTGAATGGTCCATTTATTGTGGGTTGCAATTGGAAAATTCAGTTGAAGAAATTAATTTAGAAGAATATTGGATGAATCTTGGAGATAAATTACCAATTCTTTCAAAAATTGCACTTGATTATATTTGGTTACCTGTATCAAGCTGTAGTTTGGAAAGAAGTTTTTCAATTTATAATAATATTTTGGATGAAAATCGACAAAATCTTTCAGAGGATTCTTTGAAAGGATTAAATATGATGTATTTTAATGGAAACTAATTGTAAAGCCAAATA